TACTATTACATCGAAGATGTATTGGTCCTAAATTCCAATATTTTATTGGTACCCGCGTTACCCATTGATTTTTGAAATATTCATGAAATTCAATTAATAATTTATCAGATGATAGTACATTTTCAATCAATAATTCAATAGAAGAATCAACCGCATTGTTCATTATTAATGGTAATGCCATCAAACTCTTCAACCAAATTTTAACTTTTTCATTATTTTTATACATACTTGTTAATCCAATCTTTTGAATATTTCGAAAAATAGATTAGGTGAAATGATACCAACATCCATGGATAGAAATATCAGGAAACTAAAAAAACAAAAAAAAACATTTTAATGGCTTCATTTATAGGCCAATTATACGGATGAGCATAATTTTTTCGTCCTTAAACAAATAACTTACTATTTTTTCCAACGCGTTAATTGTTCCAACTTCCAAATCCAAATAAGCATATTGCGGTTCAAATTTAAGACAAAAATCAGTTGATTTTTTTTTAAAACTTTGAAAATTTTTTCATAAACTTTTTGGGTTCTTTTTGGCGTAAGACACCATACCAATGGAATTGCTAAATAAAAAAACTCATTTTAGTACAAATAAAAATGAAGCTGATCTGAATAAAAAGCGTATACATACCTGTATCGAGATGCTGGCCCATTACAACATATACCTGAGAAAACATAATAGGGCGTGTTTTAAACGTACCATCAATTAATATTACTTCACAACTATATAACATTTTAATTAATACTTCGGTGGTAAAAATCATTAATCGTCCACCTAATTTTTTATATGTTGAATCATAGATTAAAAATTGTTCTCCACTATACGTTTTTGAATATGATTCTGGAACTTCAAAATCCAATGATTTTGGATTAGATGGCAATGTTTTTGCACGAATTTTATAAAATGTTGAAGCTAAAAATATAAAAGAATAGATCTATATTTAACTTCCTACAGACATGACATTCAACATGCAAGTTAAGTGTATCTACATTGCTTACCTTGTGCTGTTGGTAACAAAAAATGTTCCCATGGCGTAAGATATCTAAGGAAACGCACTGTGTAACGCGTTTCCAAGTTTGGGGCATGCGTTTCGCAGCGTTTCTTCAAGACGGAATGCGTTTCACAGTATTTTTACTTATATAGAACGCGTTTTGCTGCCTTGAGTTTTTGAAACGATACGAAACGCTTCTTTTTGCGATTACGTTTCGAAGTGTTTCCCAAATGAAACGCTGTTAAACTCATTAAGTCGACAAGAAAAGCATTGTACAGAGTCACAACTCGGAGAAAATGCGAAACAGGTTCTTTTAAAATGCATTTTCATCGGTTACGCTTCGAATGATGCAAAACTGATCTCTTTTGTTACAGCATCTCGCACCAATTCATCTTCAAAAAGCATGTGAGTTAAGAAAAGTCAACTCTGATATGATTTTGGAAATTATGCGAAACGGTTTTACAAAAATTTACTGATTGCATTGTTTTTGATCCTTAAGATGGCGGCGCAGGTCTTCCTTAGCCAAGGTCAGAATTAAGTTCTTCTAAGACTTCAACGAATTACGTCGTTTTCTAAGGCTGTTTCGAAGTTAGGCTAGTATTGAACATCAGAGTGTATTCTACAGTTATCTTCTGTTAGAAAACTCATTTCACTACGTTTTCATTCAAAGAAAACGCGTTTCGTAGCATTGAATCTAGAATTCTGTAAAATGTTGAAGAATTTGAAGAAATTCAGTAAAGACTGATGCAAAAATAATCCGTAGGACAGCTCAATGTTGTTGTGTGAAAAAGTATTTTCGAATAATTTATGATTTATAATAATAATTATTGTTAATTTATGTATGGACTGCGTTATAGTAACTGATTATATACTCTCCGAAACATGACTAGAATATCACTTTCGTTCGTACACTATCGATGTATGTAAGTGCAGCTTGTTGATAAAAGAGGTTCGAATTACAGAAAAAATATTTTTGTAGTTATGATTGCACTTGGATTTACTGATCATGGATTTACATTTACAAAAAAACATTCAATTCAACAAAAACTTTGCAAATTTTGCAAAATTACGATTACAGTTCTTTTGAATTTAAATTTACGAAATTTAATCTTTTTAAAATTTTTAATTCAATTTATATGGAATTAAATTCATTTTAATTGGGTATTTAAACTTTAAAAAAATAAAGTTTTACAAATTAAAATTTCTAAAAGTTAAATTTAAAATAAATTGACGGAAAATGACACTCTTCCTTGGATAAAAGCAGCACCAAGAATATCATTTTTCATCGATTCATTCAGACCTGAAACAAAATTTATTCGAATCATAAATTTGTACAAGACATCTAAATAAGAATAGAGCAAACACTTATATCATTCGACTATTTTAGTTGAACGGTTTGTATACATATCTTCTATTCTTATGTTCTCCTGTTCGAATCCACCTCTTAACTTTATCGAAACTAATGTAAGTTAACTCTATAATTCTATGAATTAATGTAAGCCAGTATATAGATCGCACTTGCAAGTTGAGTTCTACGAAGTACTTGACGGGTTTTGTTTTTTTCTATCCTTCAAAGTATGCAATACCACAGATTCAGAAACACTGCGAAATGATTTTAAGAAAAAATCGTTTCGCAACGTTTATTTTAGCAAATGTGAAACGCGTTAAACCGGCCAGCATTAACGCGTTTTGCGGCTATGAAAAAACGCGTTTTCAGAACGCGTTTTTTTCGCAAAAATTTACGCCATGGGTTGTCGATCACCATCGTTCAAATTATTTTTTACATATTCATCGTCT